AGCGTGGGTCCAGGGCCCCCTCCACGCCGAAGGAGAGGGTTTGGTGAGATGGCAGTCCTGTCGCCATGGTAGTCGGAGAGGTCGGCAGTGAGAGGAGCAGAGTCTCCCAGGAAAGGGGACAAGGCTGGTTCTGAGAGTGTGGGAAGGAGCTGGCCAGGCAGCAGTGGGGAGCCCATGAGGATGCCACCTGTGTTCCTACCTCCCCAGCTGGGCCCCGGGAAAGCAGGACCGTGAGGTTTTACCGCTCAGTCCTTACAGGGCCAAAGTGCCTGGGGAGAAGAGTGCCCTTTGTTATGGAAGAAGCAATGCTCCTATCTGAGCGCCTCGGGGGAGCCCACAAATCTGTCTAGTGTCGAAGTCGGTACCAGTGTCCTCTGGGCCTCTGTTATGTGCCAGGTATATTGTCCTTTATTCATCATGGGCACTATAACCCCTATCTCAGAAATGAGGAAAGTGAACCTGGGAGAAAAGTGAAGTATATGTGGCTTAGAAGTGGTGAAGTCAGGAACTGAAGGTGTGTCCTCCAACTCCAGAGCCCACACGCTTACCCTAATTACTGCCTGAAACACTTCAGAAAATGGGGCAGCTCCATGATCTGCTGAATAATAAATACTATTAACAGCCGCTGTCCTGCCTCCCCACTTCCTATGCCCTGGCAACCATTTTATTCTTTGTTTTTATGAGCTTGATCTTTTAAAATTCCACATCTAGGTGATATCCTATGGTACCTATCTTTCTCTGCCTGACAATCTCACTTAGCATAATGTGCCTAAGGTCCATCCATGTTGTCACAAATGGCAGGATATCCTCCTTCTTATGGGTGAGCAATATTTCACTGTTTATATAGCCCTCTCTCCATATCTGCAGGGGATTCATTCCAGACCCTCCCCTCCCCTACAGATAACAAAACCGGAGGATGCCTAAGCTTCTGATACAAAATGGGACAGTATTTACGTATGACCTATGTACATCCTCCATATATTTTAATCTTCTCTTGATGACTTACAATACCTAATACAATGCAAGTCCTATGTAAATAGTTGCTATATTGTATTGTTTAGGGAATAATGACAAGAAAAAAAAGTCTATATATGTCCAGTACAGATGCAACTATCACAGGCCTAACTCCATAGTACACATCAGCAGCAATATGACCTTTCTAAAAAAATTTTTCGATCCCTGGTTGGTTGGATCTTGGATGCAGAACCCATGGATTCAGAGGGCCGGCTGTATGTATCACGTCTTCTTTATCCATCCATCTGTTGACAGACACTTATGTTGTTTCCGTATCTTGGCTCTTATGAACCATGCTACGGTGAACATGGGAGTGCTGAAATCTTTTTGAGTCAGTGTTTCATTTTCTTCATATAAATACCCAGAAGTGGAATTGCTGGATCATGTTGTAGTATTTTCAATTTCTCAGGTAACTTCACACTGTTTTCCATACGGTTGCATCAATTTACAATCCCACCAACAGTGCACAACAGTTCTCTTTTCTCCACATCCTCCCCAACACTTGTTTTCTCTTGACATTTTGATAACAGCCATCTAACAGGTGTGAGGTGATATGTCATTGTTGTTTTGATTTGCATTTTCCTGATGATTAGTGAGGTTGAGCATCTTTTCATGTACCGGGTGGTCATTTGGATGTCTTCTTTGGGAAACGTTTATTTAGTTCTGCCCATTTTTAAATAGAATTGTTTATTGTTTTGTTTTTGTTATTGAGAAATACGTTCTTTTTATTTTCCTTGATTGATTTTAGAGAGAGAGGAAGGGAGAGGGAGAGAGAACATCGATTGGCCGCCTCCTGCATGCCCCCCACTGGGGATCGGGCCCACAACCTGGGTATGTGTCCTGACCAGGAATCGAACCATGACCTCCTGGTGCATGGGTCGATGTTCAACCACTGAGCCACACCGGCTGGAGGAGAAATACATTCTTTATATATTTGAATGTTAACCCCTTATTAGATATATGTTTCACAAAATTTTTCTCCTATTCCATGATTGTCTTTTCATTTGGTTCATTGTTTCTCTTGCTGTGAATATAGTCCTGTTTGTTAATTTTTTTCTTCTGTTGTTTGTGCTTTTGTGTCATATCAAAAGACTCATTCCCAAGGCCAGTGTCGACGAACTTTTTCTCTACATTTTCTTCTAGGAATTTTATAGTATCAGGTCTATGGGTTTTTGTTTGTTTGTTTTTTAATCCTCACCCAAGGATATGCTGTTTTTTTTTTTAATCCTCATCCGAGGACATTTTTCCATTTTTTGTACAGACAGAGTGGAGGGAGAGAGAGGAAGGAGAGAGAGGGAAACATCGATGTGAAAGGGACACATCGAGTGGCTGCCACCTGCATGACCAACCAGGGCCGGGGACAAACTGCAACCGAGGTACATGCCCTTAGCGGGAACCGAACCCGGGTCTCTCCGGACCTCAGGCGGACGCTCTAACCGCTGAGCCAAACCGGCCAGGGCCAAGGATATGATTTTATTGATTTTTAGAGAGAGAGAAAGGGAGTGTGAGAGAGAAACATTGATCAGCTGCCTCTCGTACAAGCCCGCAAACTTTTTTGGTGTATGGGATGACGTTCCAATTAATTGAGCCACCCGGCCAGGGCAGGTCTATGCTTAAGGCTTTGATCCATTTTGATTTAATTTTTGTAAGAGCCTTATGTATATTTTTCTTTTTTTCAGCTTTATGTTTATTGAATATATATTCTTACCATGAAGTTCATACATATCCAAGAGGTAGTAAAATCCTTTCTAGCTGAGGCTAAGAGATAACAAGCACAATTTCCCGTGGCCAGCAGATGGCAGGAAATAGAGTTCAAAACCACATCTGTCTGATTCTGTGCTCTTTCTATACATCCATGCTGCCCAATGGTGCTGGTTGGAACTTGGTCTGCCAACTTAAACCTTAGATGGTGTAGGGATGAGGGGTTGGTGGATGAATGATTTGTAACCTTGTGATATGCATTCTCCCAATCTGGCCAGCCTAGAATCAAAGTGTGTGTGGACAGTCAGGTTTGACTCGAAGGCAGGAAAACTGCCTTGAGTGTGTCTTAATGCTTTGTTTGCATGTGAATAAGATAATGTTTGCAGACAAAGGGTTGGAAGACCACTCAGCCAGGATAAAGAGCCGTAGGCCTAGGCATGGCTGGGTATGTTATTTTTTTAGTCTGTACAATGGAAACTGGAACGTATAGTTCTAAAACAAGGCATAGTTAGTTGCTTATTATGATGCCAGGTGCTGTTCAATGTGCTTTACAAATATTAGCCCCTCTATGTTTCATTATAAACTTTTCCCCAAGCTAGCACCATATGGTTATATGCTGTATAAGTTGCTAGTGTAATTACAAGAGAGTATCACATCCAGTGGCTGACAGTGAGCCCCCATTACTGCCCAAAGGCATTGGGCAGGTAGGAGGTTTGGAAAGGAGTCAAAGGCCATGGACACTCACTGACCTATAGGTTTTTGGTTTTCCCACAAAGTCAGAAGGAGGCTGGCAGCTGAATCTGACACGCTCATTTTCCCTATATCACAGACTACTGGATCTCTATAGATTGTAGTCCTTGCTTGTGTTTTTGGAGCAAAGAGAGTCAACAGAGAGGTTGTTGATGAGGTGAATAGTGTGGGATTTGTGTTCAAATTTCTGCCATCTCTGGGACGGTGACTGGGGGAAGAAAGGTGTTTAAACGACTAGCTCTCCCGCCTGGTCCTACTCGCCAGGGGCACAGGCAGATGCAGGCTTTGGGACCTTTCCTGTATGGTGAGAATAAGTTATTTACAAAAAGAAATGGCACAGAAAAATCTCTTACCCTTTGGGAGAACATGTCGGGACCTGGAGAGTATTATGTTAAGCGAAATAAGCCAGTCAGAGAAAGACAAGTATCATATGTTCTCACTTATTTGTGGAATCTAAGGAACAAAATAAACTGGCGAACAAAATAGATCCGGAGACATGGAAGTAGGGTACAGACACATAAACCTCAGAGGGAAGTGGGGCGGGGGTGCGGGAAGAGATAAACCAAAGAACGGAGATATGCACATATGCATAAAAATGGGCCCTGGCCGGTTTGGCTCAGCGGTTAGAGCGTCGGCCTGCGGTCTGGAGAGACCCGGGTTCGGTTCCCGCTAAGGGCATGTACCTTGGTTGCAGTTTGTCCCCGGCCCTGGTTGGTCGTGCGGGTGGCAGCCACTCGATGTGTCCCTTCACGTCGATGTTTCTCACTCTCTCTCCCTTCCTCTCTCTCCCTCCCATTCTATCTGTACCAAAAATGGAAAAAATATCCTCAGGTGAGGATAAAAAAAAAAAAAAAAAAAAAAAAAAAAAAATGGACTGACAACAGTGTAGGAGTGGGGGCGGGACGGGGAGGAGGGGATCAATAGGGAAAAAAGGAGGAACATCTGTAATACTTTCAACAATAAAGATAAATTTTTTTAAAAGAAAGGGCATAGTAATAAAAGAAAAGAAACGTAGATGTATAATAATTTCTTAAAAACCATTAAAGTGCCTCCCGAATCTTTTTCTTTTGGAAAGGGCAAACTGGTGTCGGTTCGCTGGGCTCACCAGCGAGGACTAGGCTCGGTCATCGCCCTGGACACGCGGTCAGCGCTGCTGGGCCCGGAGGATGCGGTCGCCCGCCGGCTCCGATTGGCGGAGAAATAGCAACAAACGGGCGGGGCGACCGCACCAGCGTCAGCAGGCACCGCGCGCGAGGGAAATCCCTGGTCCGGGCGCGCGAAGGCGCCACGCCCCGCCCGGCTCCCGCCGCGCGCGCTCCCATTGGTGCAAGGCGCAGACGCGACCGCGCGGGCCGGGGCAGCCAGGCCGGAGGGGGCGGGGGGCGGGGGCGGGGGCGGGCGCGCGCGCGCGCGGCTGATGAAACCAGGCGCGGATCCCGCCCACCCGCCACGCTCCATTCAGTCGGCTCAAGCAGGTGTGAGCGGTACACGCGCGGGCGGGGCGGCCACCGGCGTCCGCTAACGGCAGTCCGAGCCCAGCTCTCCGCGCGCTTCCGTCCGAGCCTTGGTCCATCGAGCGCGTTCCTGCTCGCATCCCGCCGCCCGCCGGCTCGGTGAGTGCCCGGCCTCGCCGCGTCAGGGCAGCGTCCGGGTCCAGGTCACCTCGGAGGGGCCCCAGGGCCGCGTGGGGCCGTGGGAGGGCGGCGCGGGCCCCCACGCCGGGCTGCCGGCATCCTCTGGGTGGCGAGGGCAGGGCGGCCCGGCGGTGCGCGGCCGGTGCCATGCGGGTGTCCCCGCCACCGGAGTCCATTTTGCTTCCCTAAGGCGCGGCGTGGTGCATGATGCAACACCGAGTGAGCGGACGTGGGCCACCTGGCGCCGCGTGGCCGGGTCCGGGGGGACCGGGCGGCCGGACGCTCTGTTGGTCTATGGGTAGGGGGCGGGCAGCGGGCACGGGGCCAGATGGAGCATCCGGCGACCCTCCTGTGCATGGCGCGGGGCACTGCACTCCACCCCGCCACGAGGTCCGCGATGTGTCATCCGCCACCGGGCTCCAGCTCGCCGGGCGTCCCTGAAGGTGGTCCCGCGACTGGTTGCTGGCTGGGGACAGTGCCGCGCACCCCCGCACGCTGGCCGCGGCGCCCACCTCTCTTTTCCCTGGAACCCCTGGACGCACCCTGGCCTGTCTACTTCTTTACCTAGAGCCCGGGTTCTTTTGTTTTTTTGTTTTTGTTTTTTTCCGGGGAAGTCCCGGTTGAGTGGGCTTCCTTGTAACCCGACTTTACCTGAAAAGACCGAGTAATTCAAGCGTTCTGAGCAGGAGGAAGTTCTTCCGGCTTCATAACGACAATGTCTTCTCAGCGTGTTCCTTGCTGCGTAGGTCAGGCATTCCTTCCAGAACTTGTGTGTACACAGAGCAGTTGTACTACGGTCCTCCTGCGGCGTGCTTCTAGCTCCTTCACCTTCTCAGTGGGTGTGGGGACTAGCCAGCAGTCGTCTTCGACCAGTGTGAGAGGACAGCCAGACATGTACCTTCTGGAAGAAGACCAGTGCATCTGTGCAAGGTCAGCTCCTCATGTGGGAGTAACCTGGAGTTGGATTTATTCTAGGTTTAGTTACAAGAGGAGAGGGTTGGGGTTTCAGCCCCAGGTGTATGTCCCTGAAATATGCCTTTAAAAATGTGACCAGTAGGGGCAGGTATGTTGGCTTTGGGCTGAATTTCCTAATTGTTTTTAATATGACCTATAAGTTCTTTATGATTTGGCTTATCAGCTCTTGCCTTTTATGTTTGGTTCAGATCACAGGAAACCATGGTACAGTTATCCCCCTGATATTTTTAGTTGGTCTCAGTGGAAATTATTATTTTTATATGAACACAGCCGTCTGTATTTAAAACAAAAGGTCTTATTTAAGTCACACAATCAGAATAGAAATTTAGGTGGTAAAGTCAACAGTGGATTACAATAGGTTTTAAAGGTTTAGCATATTAAGATTATGTTTAATCATTTTACATAACATTTAAGAGATGTCGAAGGTGTTTGACTAATCAAGACAAAACAGAGATCAGAAATATACTCACTTGTTTGAACCTGGATTTGAGTCACCTGGGTGCTCTGAGGTGTCATAATCATTTGCTTTAGAGGAAAAAAAAAGGCTTGAAGGACAAAATTGTGGACCTCAGGAGCTTGAATTCTAATTACACTAAGAAGGTTCCGTTCCTATATGAGATTAAATACATGTTTTATTGATTGTTCTAGTCTAGTTTCTTTCTACTAAGGCCAGTAAAAATATGTAACAGCGTCGGAGGGCCCAGCATTATGTCTAACTGAATTAATCCTTGTTGTGAGGAGATGCCCAAAAGGAGTCACTCACACAAGTTTGTCTTTCCACAATGTCAGGGTTCATTAGGGGAGACTTCCTCAATAAGCCAATAAGGTTACATGCCAAAGGTACCAGGAGCTTACAGGATAGAGCTGAAAGTCCAGGTCATTGCAGCCTTCAGGGATGGAGAGGTGGTCGTCCATCTCAACCCAAGCAGCTACAGTGGCGGCTCCAGTCTGGTGGAGCAGAAGTCCCATTGGGCTCTGAGTGTGACCAGTGGTACAGCCAAGCTGGAGTGTGGGATGGTTAGAGCTCCAAGTTCTTATAGATAATCCACAGTGGGTAGCAGTCCCATTCATATCAGTGTCCAGATGGAGTCCTTATCGGAGTGTCCAGACTTAGGTTTTGGATGTTCCGGGCCCCTCCAAAAGTTATTCCCATTATACCCCATTACCTCCGTCTTGGGCATATTACCACTTGACATAACTGTCATGGCTGACAGTGACTCCATATTGGATTATCACAAGGTATATAATCCCTTTTCATTACTAACTATGTATTTGGAGGTATTGTTTTTTTTTTTTTGTTTTTTTTTTTGATATGTGCCCCTTGCAGGAACCAAACCCAGGACTCTTTGGTCCATAGGCTGATACTCCAACCACTGAGGCCAGACCGGCCAGGGCGGAGGTATTGGTTTTTTAATCCAGGAGATTTGGAACAGGTATAAGTGTACTTTTGTTATGGAGAGAAATATTCCTGGAGTTGTCTGGGCCAGAGGCACTTTCTGAGACATCCATCATTCTACCTGGCTCTTGGTCCTCATGCTAAGTGGGACCTGAGGTGGGGACCTAGTATTTTTCTTTTTCTTTTTTTTTTTTAAAGTTTTATTTATTTTTTATTGATTTTATATAGAGAGAGACATCGATGTGGCAAAGAAACATTGAGGTTACCTCCTGTATGCACCTTGACCAGGGATCGAACCTACCACCTTTCTGTGTACAGGATGACACTCCAGCCAACTGAGCCGCACTGGCCAGAGTGTCTAGTGCTTTTCAGTGTGATAGGCCTCTTCAGACCTGGGGGCCCTCTACCACTGTGGGTCCCATAAGCCACGAGGACTTTGCTTTTAGTTTGAGTGAGGGTGGGGAACCATTGCAGGCTCTCACTATGACTTCTAACCCTGAGTAGAGAAGAGATGAGGGGGACAGGCAGACATGGAAGCAGGGACACCAGTTCAGAGACTTGTAATTATTTCTGGAGTAAAACCTTAGTCTAGGCTATTTGTACACAGGAGACAGTGACCATAAGTATTTTGGTGAGAGATGAGGGCAGCTTGGGCTGGGGTAGACACAGTAGACATATGAGGAGGTTGAATGCTGTTCCCCTGTAGAGTCAACAGGATTGGCCAGTAGAGTCTGTGCGAGGTGTGAATGAAGCCCGCTAGGATTCTAAGAGGAGTCAAGTTGCCACGTTAGCGAGATGGGGGAGGCTGAGGTGAGAGCAGGTGAGGAAGTACTGAAGTCATAAGTGCCACTTCCATCCTCAAGGGACGGACTGAAGGAGATCTTCCCTCTTGGGGGCCCTTCCTAGGTTCATGACTGCCTGGTAGCCACCTGCCCCAGGCATCCTTCTCACCTGGTTTCATGCCTCCTCACCCCTGGCCTCCCTCTGCTCCCCTGCGGCCTTCAGTGGGCAGGGGAGAGACCCTTTGCCAGTTGGGATTCCAAAGCCCTGGGTGTAGTGCTTTTCTATTCCCGGGCCTTTGGGACACCTACATTCCAGGGGTTCCTTCGGCAACAGGCATTGGATCCCGGTCCAAGGTTCCTCCACCCCAATGTTTTAGGTGTCTTCTAGTCAAGGAATATGGTAGTAGGGACTTCAGCGGCAGAATGTTAGCTTTGTCAACTACAGGAATCCTCTTTTTCTTTCTCCATAACCCCCACCCGCCCGCACCGCAACTCCAAGCTGCTCTGAGAAAACTACCCGTACGCCCTGGCTGGTTTGGCTCAGCGGTTAGAGCATCGGCCTGCGGTCCGGAGAGACCCGGGTTCGGTTCCTGCTAAGGGCACGTACCTTGGTTGCAGTTTGTCCCCAGCCCTGGTTGGGTCGTGTGGGTGGCAACCACTCGATGTGTCGCTTTCACGTCGATGTTTCTCTCCCTCTCTCTCTCCCTCTCACTCTGTCTGAACAAAATATCGAAAAATGTCCTCGGGTGAGGAAAAAAAAAAAGAAAACTACCCGTGCAGGTCGAAGTGAGTCATAGTTGATCATGGAAGGGTTAGTGCGCCTGCCACCTGGGGATCTGCTAGAAGGACAAGCAGCCAGTTGGTTGAACAATCTGGTGGACAACTAAATGTGTTCATTTCACTCCGAAGGCATTTCTTCATACGTTGGCTGAGCTGTGGGTGACGTGTGCTCTCCACACGCACTCAGGGTTTGTTCAACCCAGGAACACAGGCTGCAGGAATGACATGTCTGGACAGCAGAGTAGATTCTGGAGTGAGGCTCACCCTTCCTGCTGCACCCAGTGTTCTTGTTGGCCTCCCCCCCGGATATAGTTGTTAGCAGATGTACATTTGCTGCAAGGCATGGAGTTCGGCTCTGCGGTGCGGGACGAGGCCTTCACAGCTTCCGAGCGCCTGTGTGCGTGGGAAAGGATGCGCTAGGAGCTGGGGGCAGGTGCTACCCAGGCAGGGATAGCGCAGCCTCCAGAAAGTCCCCGAGACCTGAACCTGGGAGACCTGCTCTTCCTGTAGACTGGGGAAGCCTTCCTCTATCTGTAGGATTCTGTGAAAGAAAAGGGGGCTAAGTCAATACATGTAGATCCCTTTCATGAAATACGTTCTTTCTGTTGATGGCACCTAGGAATCCAGTTCAGGGAAACCTTTAAAGGCTATGGCAAGAGGGACTTACATGGAGGTAGGAGGCAGCGCCTCCTTTCCCTGAGTAGGACTGTGTGCACTTATGCACCATCTCTCTCGTTCCTGGATGGACCTTTTCCTCCCTTTTCTGTAGGGAGGGGACGGGCAGTTTTGTTTCCTAAACATTCCACATTCCTCCTGAATGCTTTCTTTACAAGATTCAGTCAGATGACTGTGAGAACAACCAAATAGGTTTCCTTTTGTTCAGGAGCAGGTCCTGCCCTGCCTGCGCTCCGTGTGCAGCGGGCTCTGCACCGCGGAGACCAGCCGAGCCGAGTCCAAGCTGCAGGGGCCTGGCCTCTGCGCGGTGTAGCCCGCCGGAGCTGTCATGGGGCCGTGCGTGGTGGGGTCAGAGGGGATGCCATGGGCCC